TAAGAGAGGCTTTCAATTTGGTTTCTGGTCATGAGAATCTGATCCGTTGGTTGAGATCGCCAACGCTTCTGGATCTTCATGATACTATACACATACGACATCATCACCACGAACACCGTCCCAGCGACGGTCTTGATGACGATTGGAGCGCGACCGCGTTTCACACGATCCAAACCCATGATCACAAGCTTCCTCAGAGGGGTCTTGAATACGAAGATCACGATCAGAGCCATCTCGGAGAATACGAGAGTGAAGAGAAGGTGAATCATTTTCGAAGAGTGGACAGAATTCAAATCAGTGGGGTTCGATTGGAGATTTCAAGGGCTGTGATGAGAGGTGTATGAGTTATTATCGTGAATCGAGGTGTATGGAATCGGAGAGGAGAGCAGAGATCAGCAAGTAGAAGAAGAGAGACGGGTTTCCATTCTTCTTTCCTCTGTGACTTCGCCTCTCCATACTTCAAAAAGAGCGAATTTTTGTAAATTTTATATAGCGTCCTCCAACTTTATTCTATTTATTTATGCTCGGTTTGAAAATTTGACAAGAAATTTAAAAGAAGAATGAAAAAGTTTAGGCCAAATTTGAAAAGACTCAGGCTAAGCACCCTCTCCATGTGGATCGGATGGATCGGGCAAATCTCAAGTAGAGCTCACGAGATTGGCTCCAATGAGTTGATAACACCTAGTGAGAGTTGAATCTGAAACGTAGAGGGAGGCACACCTCCAAGCCCCAAGTTGCACCTACTAGGCCAACCCTTTGGGGTTGTGGTTAGAGGCTATAGTGGTTAAAGGCTATATTCAGCATTAAGAAAATTTCAATGTGTTCATGCAGTTCAATGTGTTCGTACAGTTTAATTAGTTGCTCAAAGCATCTTATCCCAGAATTTCCACCTTAGTAAGATAAAAATGAAAAAAATGAGGTAATGTGAACATTAAAACAAAATAGCAGATCAAGATGGAACGCAGATCAAATGCCTAAACAGGACAATGACAGAAATTTGACATATTTAGTTAAACAAGGAAGCAAGGAATTTAGAAAGGGATTTAGAAGAGATCTATGGAAGGATTAGTAAACATGATAGATGTGAAGAGTGACGGTAAGTGAAATGAGGATAGGGATGAAAACATTTTATGCTCCCAGAAAACCACATGATGGGGTACACGAAGACGCTTAGAGATAGGATCCCAACAGGGATAACCTTTATGTTCAATCCCATTCCCAAGAAAACCACACAGATGAGAATGAGGTTCAAGTTTAGTGTGTTCATGAGGTTGAAGGAGGACAAAATATGTAGACCCAAAAACTCGAAGACATGTGTATAGAGGGCTAGTGCCATGCAGACGTTCAAAGGGAGTTTGATGGTAGGCGATAGGAGTGGGAACACAATTAATAGTATACACAGCAGTAAGTGCAACTTCCCCCCAAAAGTTTTCAAGACAGGAAAAAAGAGAGAAAGAAAGCTCAAGTAGTGTCGAGAATATGCCGATGTTTCAGTTCAACACATCCATTTTGCTGGGACATGCCAGCATAGGAACGATGAGGCTGAGTTCCATGACACTGAAGAAAATAGGGGAAATACGAATCTCGATACTCCATAGCATTGTCAGAGCAGAAATTTTTAATGTTCTTTGAAAATTGGGTTTGGACCATTGTTGCAAAGGTATAATAAAATTGTTTAAGTTCAGAATGATTTTTCATGAGAAACAGCCAAGTAAAATGTGAAAAATATCAACAAAGATAACAAAATAACGAGATACCCCCATGGTAGTAATAGAGGATGGGCCACAGATATCAGAATGTATGAAATCAAAAAGGGCATGGGAAACAGAAGTACTTTTAGGGAAAGATAAAGCAAGTTGTTTTCCATGTTGACAGGACAAGCAATCTGTAGCGTTAGAAACAACATGTCCTAACTTACCACTAGAAATTAAAGACTTTAAACGACCAAAAGAAATGTGTCCTAAACGGAATGCCAAAGATGAAAAAGAGATATATTGAAAGTAGAAGCAGCAACTTGGATGGAAAAGGGGACATGATGAGGAATGAGTTCATAAAGATGTCCATGCTTGCGACTGATCCCAATAGTCCGTCACATCTGGGGGTCCTGCACCAGACAACCATTAGCGGAAAATGTAACAATGAGACCAAGTTCACACAATTGACCAATGGAGATGATATTTAAGGTAAGAGCAGGTATAAGATAAACATTAGGTAAAGTCAGATTAGATTTAGGAACATGACCAATATGACGAACTGACATAAGAGAACCATCAGCAGTATGAATGAAGAGAATATGGGAGGAGGAGAAAAGTGAAGAAAGAGAAGAAGAATCGTAAGTCATATGGTGATAGCATGCGGAGTTAAAGTACTAGGAAGATGTACCTGAGGTGATTGATAAAGCAGTAGGTGGAGGAGTACCAGAAGAAGAGAGAAGCCGGTGAAACATGGCCGATACAGCTTGTAAAGAAAATGAAGGAGATGGACCCGGTTGAGGAGAAAGATTTGAACAATCCATGGAGTGATGTCTAAGATTAAGTGGGCACAGAGCACAGTAGCGTTGATAGCAGAGCTGACATGGCACATGGCTAGGGCAAGCCTAGCAAATGCCGAAATGCTACGCGCCTTAGGCAAGCCAAAAGGAAGCCGATAACAAAGTCGGTTGTGGCGGAAGCTGAGAAGGCATGCGGCTTAGATGAGTTGGGAAGAAGCCGAAATGGAAAATGATTGAGGTAGAAACCGAGCGTGGCAGCACACGGCTTAGGGGAAGCCGAGTGGGTGGTGCAGTGATGCATAGGGTTGACATTAGGGGTGATGTAGCTGTTGAGGAGGCATGTGACAAGACGCTGTGAGTTGAATTACGCGTTGAATTTCAGGCAATGCGTGTTGCGTTGATTTTCTGTGGGTTTTGCACCGTTAGACTCTTGAGAATGAGAGGAAGAGTTTGATGTATTCGGAAGTTGATTTTGACAATTTCCATTTATGGGCAGGTTTAGAAGAACAAATATTTTGAACCTCTGTTTTAGGGGTGCTCAGCGGATATACTGATCCATCCAAACCGACCGAACCGATCCGCTACATTTTGGACGGATGTGTGATGACAAGTAGGATACGGAATGATTTTCTCCAATCCGCCTAATTTTGGATGGATGGCTGGTTGGAGGTTCATAGGCCGCAATCGAACCGCAAGCATCTCTACTTTGTAGTCATTGTTAACATATAGGTTGGTTGGATTATTATCCATGTTTGTAAGTTATTATTAATAAGACAGATTGAATTGTTATCTAAAAAAAAATAAAAATTTATGTCGATAGGTTTTATTATGTTGAAATCTGTAAAATGTAAACCGCCAAACCGATTCGCATTCATCCACTAATCTGTTTAATCCGCATCCACCAATCCGGCAGACAATTGTAGATTGATTTTTTTTCAATCCGCCTAGTTTTAGATGGATGACGGATTGGAGGTTCTCAGACCGCAACCGAACCGTGAACGCCCCTACTCTGTTTAGATGTGATGGTTGGACGCACTATGTTGGGTGCAGTGTTGGTACCAGGACAGTAGTTTGCACTACCAGACTTAAGAGAGAGGAGCAAAGGTTTTCACTTTTAGCTTTGATACCATGATAAACAAATAAGAGAATGAGTAAATATGTATTGAATTGAATAATAAGTAATACAAGGTCCTTTATATAATGAAGGACATGACTCAAGTATGGTAATACAAATAACCTATTTGTGGTAATACAATCAAGGTTGTTAAAATCGGGATCCTAAGTAGGATCGGTGAGAGGGTCTGGTGGATCGGATCTTAGGATCGGATCGAGGATCGTAAGATCCTACTTCTATTAAAAAAAAAGATAAAAATTAAAATTAAAATGATACATATTAAAAATAAGGTAAAAAATCATAAAATCTACGATCTTACTTGCGATCCTACCTACGATCCTATACGATATCATATGATCCTACACGATCCCATGCGATCCTATATGATCCTACTTGCGATCCTGTTATAACATCGATCCTATAACGATCTGGATTGTTTTGGCAAAGTAGGATTGTACGATCCTACGATCCGGATCGCGATTTTAACAACCATGAATACAATCAAATAAAATCAAACTAAACCAAATCCTCCACATATGGAATATAATATATTTGATATATATTATGTATGTGAGCACCTAAATTGGTATATTAAAGTTTTGTCTCTGGCAAGTGTTCAGTTATCTATCCACAAAAAAAAAAAAAATTAGAGAAGAGGATGGAATGATTCTTGAACTAAAAGACTACAGATTTGATAAGAAAGAGTCTTACCACTTCAGGTTAAAACCAATATATGTTAAATATTTTATTTTATTCCTATTTATTTAACTGGCACACGACCGCTAGTACTGAATATATTCCAACAGTTCCCAAAACAAGTCTAAAATCACCCCTAATTTCTCTCAAATACTTCAATTTTTTATTAATTGTTTCAGCTTTTAATTCCTCAAACCCTACCAACTACTATAGATTTTTTTTTATAGTGAATAATTAAAATTCGGAATCCTGAGAATTTCATCGCTACCCATGGTGTGTGCACACCCTTTTGTTGCTGTAAAATAGTTTAAAACCAATTTCAATCACTTCTCATCCACAAAATTGAAACTCAAAATTCATTGAGGGTCTGTTTCGTTGGGAAATTTGGGAAGGAATTTGAAAAAAGAAAAGGAAAAAAAGATAAAGTAAAATGTGAATAAAATATATTAATATTTCACTCAATTTCACACCTCTTTTCTTCTTTTTCTTTTTCAAATTTCTTCCCAAATCTCTTAACCAAACGCAGCGTAAAGGAATTCAGTGAATGGATAATTCATGGGAGATCTACTACTCTACAGCCGTAAATTTAAAAGCGAAGCAAATGAAGAAAAGAAAGAAAGAAAGAAAGAGGGAGTGGAGAAAATAGATGAGATGAGATGAGAGGAGGATTACACAATTAGGAGATTATGATGGGATTACCACTGGAAGAAGAGTCGGAAGAGTGTATGATTTGTTGGATTTTGTTGAAATTGGTATTTGATGTGATGCTACTATCATTAGTAATGCTTTTCTGTTGCTGTTGCTTTTGTGGTCTGTTTTCCATCTTCAAGTTTTGCTGTGCTGTCTTCTTAGAAATGCTCTCGCTATTGCTATGCCTACATATGAATTTGTGATTGAAATTGAAATTGAAATTCAACGACCACAATAATACCCCTCTGGCTCTGCAAATAACGAGCGATTGCATTTCAATTCAATCACTCAAAAACTACCCTGTGCTTGAGGCCTCAGATCAACTTATGAGGCCAAAGGTGGTGTTTGGGGAGTCTGTGGGTTGGGTTTTTTTAAATTTTTTTCACTAAAAGATAAATTTTTATAAAATTAAAAAAAATAAATGTAAATAAAATATCATATTTAATTTTATAATTATTTTATTTTATTTTTTTACAAATATCACATCTAAGTATAAAAAAATTTAATTATTTTTTTAAACATTAAAATTTTTTTTTCTAGTAATTTTTTTTTCAATTAATCTTTTATTTCAATTAAATTTTTTTCAAATATTTTTTTCCCAATTAAATTTGTTTTCAAATAATTGTTTAGAGAGCGAACGAGTAACAAAAAAAAAAAAAAAAAAGGAACTTTCATCTCCTACTGACTGAGAGACTGAACAAGGGCTGTAAAGTAACACCAAATTATTGGAATTATATACTTTACAATAAAGAAGAAGAAGAAGAAGAAAGTGAAAGAGAAGCGACTAGTAGTGATTACCAGTGTGCGCGACGTTATTCGGACGGATCGTGAGTAAAATTATAAATTAAATGGTAGATTATTGAATTAATAGATTGACAAATTTGGATTTGAATAGTTTTTTTTTGTTTTTGTTTTTATTTTGTGTTTTTTAAGTTTAGTTTGAAAATTAAAAAAATTGTTTTATTTATAATTTTTAACAAGTCAAGTACAGGTAGAATTTGAATAATTTAATTTTTTTTATAATTTATATATTTTATTTTTTATAATCGGATCTTTGAATTAATTTACGCGCACCTCAACTAATTCCGAAATCCACACAAAGTGTCCCCTCCACATGGATCTGGCAAATCACAAAGTGCCTTCCTCCACGTGAATCTGGCAAATCTAGAGCAGAACTTGTGGGTGTAATCCCAAGAAATAGATTGTTCCTAATGTGAGTTGAACTTAGGATCTAGAGAAAGCATACCCCTACACCCCAAGTTGCACTCATTAAGTCAACCCCTTAAGTTATATATTAATTTGTTTAAATTTAACTTACTAACTAAAATAACATACCTTTAAAAAGTCAAACATGAGTTCAAGCCCCTTTAGTAGAGCTGTGGAAAAGTGATTATAGATTATAACTTAACAGATTATAGATTATAGCTTTAAACATAAGCTGTTAACTTGTTTGATGCAGATATAAGATTATGAATTTAATCAGCAGAGTAGTGTTTGGTTGAATAAATGTTCAATTGTTGGAATATGTGGATTGGAGAAATTCAATGTGTTTAATCAACCTTATATCTAGTAGTAGTAGTGGTAGTTGTGGAGGACAGGTCTTTAAATTTGAAGAACCAATTGGAATAATTTTCTATTTTCTTTTGGGAGAATACTCTTGAACCTCAAGGAGCAACACCTTTTGCCATATGTCTTTCTTTCTTTGCTGGTTGTTCTTGGTAGCCAGATTTTTAGTCATGTGTGTTCTATGTTTAGCAATGAATTGAATTGTTTAACTTTATTAGTTGATAAATTTTTTAACTTTATTAGTTGATAATTTTATTTCATAATTACAAATAACACTCTCATAAGTTGCACTCATTATTTTTTTTCTTTTATTAATATTGATAATCTGAACCGTTCAATGTGTAGAACTCGTCGAGTACTATATACCTAAAAAAAATCACGTTGATTAGATATCGATAGCTATATGATCAAATCAGTCTTTTGTCAACTGTTAATTTGTTCACCGTCTAATTTTTTTAATACGAAACTGATTTGATCACATAGCTATCAATATCTGATCAACGTAATTTTTTACAGGTATATAATACTCGACGAGTTCTACACATTAAACGGTTCAGATTATCAAAACGGGACCCGTGGTGGGCCCCCACTAGCCCAACAGAACGGTCCAATCCGATCCCGTATTTGGACAGAAGCCATACCCAAAATTTTTCTCCAATAATATCCTATAACTAAAAAAACCTACATAAAAACTCACTTCCCAACACTCACTGTCTGTGGTTCTTGTTTTCCACACTCTTTTTAAAAAAATTTGGAGTTTTTATTTAATTATTTTGAAAGTCAGACAAAGTTTTTAATAATGCATTTTTTTAAAATTGTCTCTCTTTGTAATAATGTAATTTTTTGAAAACTAAATAAAGATTTTTTCTCGAAATAGAATTTTCAAATCAGTTTTTAAAAAATTAATTCAAAAAAATAGAAACATGTTGATTATTTTCTTTTTTTTTTTTTTTACACCTTATTTTTATTTTTATTATTATTAGAATAAACTCAAGCCTGAAAGACAGTCACTTTCCAAAATAGGCTTGAAGCCCGCCACGCCCCTAGCATTCTTATTTACAAATTAGCCTAGTGGATTTGAATAATTGTTTTTGTTTTTGTTTTGTTTTATTTTTTATTTTTTATTTTTTAAATTTAGTTTGAAAATTTTAAAAAATTGTTTTATTTATATTTTTTAACAAGTCAAGTACAGGTAGAATTTGAATAATTTAATTTTTTTTATAATTTATATATTTTATTTTTTATAATCGGATGTATGAATTAATTTACGCGCATCTCAACTAATTTCAAAATCCACACAAAGTATCCCCTCCACGTGGATCTGGAAAATCACAAAGTGCCTCCCTCCACGTGAATCTGGCAAATCTAGAGCAAAACCTGTGGGTGTAATCCCAAGAAATAGATTGTTCTTAATGTGAGTTGTGTTGGAACAATCTTCTGTATAAATAAAATAAATGAAATAAATCAAACAAAATAAATAAATAACGTACCGAATTTATTTATTGAATCGAATTAGAAGAACATTCAAAGACCAAATCGAGTGTGTGACACTCTGTCCTTAAGACAGATTCGCCCCGCTACGGTGCTTACGGTTGAGTGGCATCTATCTTCCAAGATACAATGATCTTCACAAACTTGTAAAAGCACTTCAAACAAATTTGTTCGGCGAACCAAACCTTGTGTTCTTATACTCTCTTTAATTTATCCTAAATCTAATATGAAGAATAATACAAAAGTAGAAAATTCTGGACAACAATGAGACAAATTTTAGACTGTTTTCGAATAGAAAATATATCACCAAAACTGTTGGAATTGATGGTATTTATAGGCAGCAAACAGTCCCGAACAGGTATCAATCTAAAGGCAAAAGGTGTACAATCAAATTGAACAGGTGCCACATGATTTGTCCGTTTGCTAAGAACAAATTTTCAAAATGATTGAAAATAGTACCGTTGCTGACCGTTTGCATCTTGGAACATATTTTCAAATTGCTTTGAAAATAGCACCGTAGGTGAAATAGTGAAAGGAACTATTGGGATATATATATATATATATATTAAACTAATTGAATATATATATATTAAACTATTTGAATAGTTTAATAAAAAAAATGAAGAGGTACAAATTTTAAGAAACCACTTAGGAATCAAAATTTGAATTTAGAATTAAATTAAATTCCCACAATTACAAATTTTAGGAAACCACTTAGGAACCCAAAATTTAAATTTAGAATTAAATTAAATTCTCACAATAATTTTCATTGAAAAAATTCAAAAGAATTTTATCTAAAAAATTAATGTTAGACTCAAAAACGACGTTAACTTCCCATTCACTCATAAATGGTTTTGATGTTCCGTCTTCACCATGTGACTTGCCACGCGGCAAGGAACACTTCACCTCTTCGGACCCACCCCAAAAAACGTTTGGGGCCTACTCAAATTTGGGCTCAAAGTCGGCCCAAAATATGCCTATATTAACCATTTTTCCAACAATCCCCCACATGAATAGAATTTGACGAAGAGAAAATGCAACAACATGAACTAATTACAGAGAGTACAGAAATTGGAAATATTTTGCAAATGATAGGTAGCTTTTGGCTTTGAACCTTCCCTTGTGAGACACTATCGGATTTACTAGCTAACCAGTGAACATGATGTCTTGAACTGTTCAACCGTTTGTGTAAACCAAGACAATAGAACTCACACAGTATATCCCCAGACACAGTTTAGTTCTCACTATTGTGTTCATTTTGGCCCTGAACAACCTGGTCTATCATGAGTGCTCTAAAGACTTGTAGCCCTTCACAAATCTTATAGAACCGACCCAGTTTACACTCACATAAGTGATTCTTATGAAGAGTATCCTGACATACTTCACTAGGTTTACTTAGATATAAGAATCATTAAAATTTTACTTAACCTCAAACGCTGCAGACATCATTATTTCATCAAAGAAATGGGTAGGAGTTAGACTCCCCAGTGATCCTTCTGAGTTATTCACAACTCAGTTGTCCCTTTGAACCTAGATCTTGGGATCTCCAGTCAACTAGGTTGGGTTGCCGTTGTGGTAACTCTTATTTAATAGGCTTAAGTCTCATTCCCCTCGATGAATTCTCAACTAACTCTCTTGCTAACCCTTTGGTTAGTGGATCCGCTATGTTGTCTTTAGACTTAACATATTCTATAGAAATAATTCCATTAGAGGGTAGTTATCTCACTGTGTTATGTCGACGACGAATGTACCGTGACTTACCGTTATACATATGACTCTGTGCTCTACCTATAGCTGATTGACTATCGTAATGTATGCATATAGCAGGCACCGGTTTTGGCCATATTGGAATATCTTCAAGGAAGTGGCGAAGCCATTCTGTCTCTTCCCCAGCTTTGTCTAAAGCTATGAATTCAGATTCCATAGTAGATCTAGCAATGCAAGTCTGTTTGGAAGATTTCCAAGATACAGCCGCTCCACCAAGAGTAAATACATACCCATTGGTGGACTTTGAGTCTCTAGTATCCGATATCCAATTTGCATCACAGTATCCTTCAAGTACTGCTGGATATCTAGTATAATTAAGCCTAATGTTACGAGTAAATTGGAGATATCTAAGAACCCTTATAATTGCTTTCCAGTGTTCTACTCCCGGATTACTCGTATATCTACTTAATTTACTTACTACATAAGCTATATCTGGGCGAGTGCAGTTCATCAAGTACATTAAGCTTCCAATAATTTGGGCATACTCTAATTGAGAAAAACTTTCCTGTA